CGACCTCTTAATAGTGATTAGGCTTCTAATTAAATGTACAAGGACTAAACTGCCCCTACTTAAGTATGGGACAGAGAACCTCTAATAAGACTGCCACATAAGCTCATAACTTAACCAAGGTGAGTTGACTAATCTACCCTTATTCGGCTAACTCTAACAACTACGATGTACTTCCAGTCCCAGGAAATATGTGAGAGGGCCCAAGTCCTTCGTGTGAAAGGAATTATGAAGTAATAGTTTCAATTCACGAATGCCTTCAGCATCATTCCCAGTCAACAACATATAGTAGGAGAATGGTAATACCCTGAGGTCGTCACCTAACAAATAAAGAGTAATCAGAAGAACTCTGGCTATATCCAGTAGCAACTACAACATCGTGAAAGCGTTCAAACCATGCCTGTGGAGCTTGTTTTAGACCATATAGAGACTTTTTTAGGTGACATACTAAAGAAGGATCACTGCAGTATCCAGGAGGAGGCTTCATGTAGACCGTCTCCTTCAACTAACCATGAAGAAAGCCATTATTCACATCAAACTGGCATATGGTCTAAGACTGAGCAGTAGACACTGCTAAAAGAACACGGATTGTGGTGATCTTTGCAACAAGAACAAAGGTTTCTTCATAGTCAATACCATACTCCTAATTATATCCTCGGCAAACTAAATGTGCCTTGTATCGATCAAGAGATCCATCAGACTTTAGCTTAATGTTGTAAACCCAATGACTCCCAACAATGGATGCATTTGGAGGAGCGGACACAAGATCCCAAGTGTCATTTTCATGTAAAGCATGAATCTCTGCATCCATGGCTTCCTTCCAATAAGGGCTACTATTAGCTTCCTGGTAGGAGCGAGGAACATCTGTGGAGGATAGGACAGTAGACAAAGATCTATGGTTTAAAGGAAAACCATAGCGGTCAGGAGGTCTAGGTATGAAGAATGTCTGAAGTAGAGGTATCACTTACAAGAGCAATGGTAGGATGATGATCTGAACCGGGAGGAAGGAGAGTCGCAGGTGCAGGGGCTGGAGCACGTAACCACTTGCGAGAGAAGATGAGAAAGTCCTCAGCAGAAGGAGGTGGAGCATCCTGTGAATCAAAGTTTGACAAAATAGAAATAGACAGTGCAGACAGTCTAGCAATTCTATCAAAAAATGAAATGTGCTCAAGGAAAACAACACTACGTGATATACGAATGAGACGAATAGAGGGATCATAACAAATAAATCCTTTGTGGTCAGAACAGTAACCCACAAAGGCACACAAGACAGACTGTGCAGACAATTTAGAACATTCACGAGAGGGAAGATGAACAAAGTACACACATCCAAAAACATGAAGCATAGATAAATCTAGAGAACGACCAAATAACTTCTGAAAGGGAGACATATTACCAAGAACTGAGGAAGGAATATAGTTGATCAAAAAACATAGCTATATTGGCTGCCTCTACCCAAAAGGAAGGTGGAGTATGGAACTCCTACAATAATGTCCTCACAGCACTAAGGATATGTCCATTCTTTCACTCGGCCACACCATTCTGCTGAGGAGTATCTAGACAACTTCGTTGCACTTGTATTCCATGATCCTTCAAATAGAATAAAAAATCTCCATTAGTGCATTCTCCCCCTGAATCCGAACGGAGAATACACACTTGTGAGTGAAACCGAACCCGCACCACAGCATGAAACAACTTAAATGTTGGGAAAACCTCAGACTTGTGGCAAAGAAAGTATATCCATGTGTACCTAGTACAATCATCAATGAACAACACAAAATATTTGTGTCTAAGCTGAGAAGAGACAAAAGCAGTCCAAACATCACTATGTATAAGCTCGAAGGGAGAGGTAGCATGCTTAGATATGTGAGGAAATGGTAAGGTACGACTCTTACTTAAGCAACAAGGAACACAAGATGTATCAAAGGTGTGCAAGGAAGGAACTTTATTCTCAATAAGGCCTGAATCAAACAAAAATTTTAATTTTTCAGAATGTATATGACCCAAACATTTATGCCATAAGTCCCAAACATTATTTCTATGACTCAGAAGGAACTAAAAGTGGAGGAACTGAAATAAACTGATGATGTTGATATTTGAGGCTTCTCAAACTCCAATGCAAACAGATGGCCCAACCTGCGCCCCTTCCCTCTCACCTTCCCAGTGTTCTGGTCCTAAATCAAACATCCATCCTGAGAGAAATAGCATAAAACTCACCAGGTAAGCCAATAGCAGAAGTTACCAGTTGTCGAATGTTTTCCTCAACCATAGATGCTAGAGAATCACATTTAACAAAAGAATCACCACCAATAGTAGATTTCTTACTCCCATGTGCTACAGCAGAAGTGTCAATTCCATAGGTTGATCCTTCCAGCCTTATAGGAATAATATCTTCTCTACTAGAGGCCCTTTCAACAAGAAAACAACAGTCCAGGCACAAGGATATCAGAGACAACCAAATTTAGCAATCAAGAACTCAAGATGGCAGTCCAAAAAAGGCAAGTTTTAAGACTGTCAAGTCTAAAACCCTTCAAATATGAATCTAAAGTCTGAATCAAATAAATGGAAAGCAAGAAAACCCTAGGACGACACCAGATCTAAGGTTATAGGTTAATCGAGTCAACCGATTGAGAGAAAATGGTGATTTACCAACACATCAGGCGTCTTTTCAAGAATAAGGTATCTTGTGCTTGATCGAAACAATCCCTAGAAATCTTCAAACCAGAAACTGAGTGTAGAATTAAGAAGATCTTGAGAGAACCCTTCAATCTAGAGAGAAAAACTCAAATCGTAGGCTGATGTAAAAGGCCAGAAGTCCAAAAAAGAGTTACAGTCCAAAAAATGAAACTATACAGTGTTACAGCCCCAAGAAGAAGATCAGAAGTCCTTCGAAAACTTCACCAAATCAGATGTTGTCTATAGGTAGAATAGATCAAGTCTAGGCGGCACCAGATCTGAAGTCCAAAGTTGTTGCAGTCCAAAAAAGGAAACTGTACAGTGTTGCCACCCCAAGAAGAAGATCATAACTCCTTCAAAAACTTTACCAAATCAGATGTTGTTTGTAAGAAGAGTAGATCAGGTCTAGGCGACACCAGATCTGAAGTTTGGCCTCGAACCAATGTCTCACAAGAGAGATCTAACGAAATCTCTCCTATTGGTTGTGCAAAAAAGACTGAACAGAAAAGGGTTGAACAAAACAACCCTAATATGATAGGATTACTGCTTCTAGTGAATTTCACGAGAGAGAGAAAAAAGATCAGAGAGCAGCCCGCTCTGATACCATGTCAACACTCTTGTCTGAATAGAGAGAAGAACAAGAATAATCTTAGAAGAGTCAAGAATAATTGACTCCCACCTCAAAGAGTCTCTTATATATTAAAAGATATGTACAATTACAAGAATGCCCATATAGGGCTAAAAGAGAAAAGAAGAATAAGAAGTATAAGTAATGTACAACAAGGACTATACTAATAAGATACACCAAGTTATAGAGTATCCACATACTGTTACATATAACAAAATTGCAAATCAGGATTTTTATTAGAAAATAAGTTATTCAGTATTTATTACAGCAATTTTCTCATGCCACAATTTCTATAGGTAGAAATTCCAAACACCTAGCGACACCTTAATACTGGGCACCTGTGCCATGTACCAAAGTAACAACGCTAAGATTCTAGGAACAAAAAAAGATACTGAAGAAAATAAAGAGAGGAAGATAATTTTGTTAAAACTCACCCGGGACTAGCAAGGTTCATGACAGGTTGCATTACCAAGCTAGTTAAGAGTTCCCTGATAAAGCATCGGACAAGAGGACATTGAGCCTCTGTTGGACTTAATACAACAGCCAACACTCCTCCCATAAGCCGTTGAAGAACCTAAAATGGAACAATATTTATATATATTCAAGTATCCAAAATTTAAAGTAAAGCAGAAAATAGAAACCGAAAGGAATCCACCAGAACACTCCACTCAAACGGTCAAACCTTATACTCGCACTCTGGAGATATCAGAGCCGGGTGAAGCTCCTTGGAAGCCATAAGATGGTGTCTCAATTTTTCTTCCCTTTCTTCACAAGAAAGTGTTCCCATAACATCCATACCAATAGCAGATTGGTTTCTTCTATAAAGGTCCAAGTGGTTTCCTATCAAGTCAACCATATCCCTGAATCATTGGAAAGTCACTTAGTTCTAATGGAACAAGAATTCATGCATCCAACAAACCCAAAAAAGCTTCCTTGATAACTTACAAATAAAAGTAATGCAAAAGCACCTTGTTAACAGGTCGACAAGGTTGATTTCTCTCGCCCTTGCTGATATTTCACCAATGACCTCAGTGATTATTAGGCGTATTTGCTCAGGACCCTCTCTGTCAGGAGTGACTGAAGAGTACCACAAATCTATAATGAATTCCTGCAATATCTTATCAACAAACTCATCAACAGCAGCTTCCACCAGAGGAGAGGCAATTTTCCTCTTCTGTTTTGATGACGGAGGGGGTGGAAGAGTTGAAAGGCAAGGATCGTCAACAAATAAATGCTTCTTCCGCAGGTGAGATAAATATGTCTGCCTATGAGTGGATCGAACCCTCCGGTGGAAGTCCACTTTGTTAATTAGAATACGCAACGAAGAAACCAAGAGAATTGATATGGGAATATTTGTCCACATCGATTTACTTGTATCTGCAACAAGCACCCAAACACATGAAAATGTTTCATCCGTAACTTCCCAAATTATTTGAAAACACATAAAAACTCCTGCTTCGTAAAACAGCTCTTCGTACTTTGCATGGGTTATTGGTCTCTTGGTCAAAAATGACCTATCTGCAAATTGTATTCCAGTAAAGTCACAACTTAATTTTTCTCAATCCCAATTATAATTTCATTTCGTTTGAGTCCTAAACCCAAGAAAATGCAGATCATTGAGTTGACAAGAATCACAAGTCGTATATCTTCAATAAGACAGTTTAAAAGATGGTGAGGCACAACAGTCTTACAAGTTATAAACCTTGTATGAAGCTTAGGCCTCAAGTATAATCAATAAAAAAAATGCATATTAAAACGTCTTGAGGCTTATGCCTCCAAGGCTTCAAGACCAATGGTCTCTTTTATTTTATTTCTTTTAATTCTTTTCTTTTCTATATATATATATATATATATATATATATATATATATTGCTTCTAATGTCTCATTTCTACCTTTTACATTTTAAATATATATCTTCTAATGTCTCATTTCTACCTTTTACATTTTAAACCTTGATTTCTTGAAGGAAAGGGCACTTTGTTATAGTTACTTAAAGTATAAATCTCAAAAACTAGCCGAAATTTTCTTAGATAGAAGTTCAGGAAAAACCCAGTTATCCTTGTCATTTGACAAATTCCCAGATGTCCCTTTCTATGACATCTTGTTTCCGCCTCACAGCACATCTCCGCCATGAGAACATCTCCTGATGATAGTACCACTCTGGATGATATCATCATTGGGAGATGTTCCCAATAGACAGTGGGGATATGCTGTGAGGCGTTGTGGGGCGGAGATGTGATCTCGGAATATTCATTTTAAGTTTTTAACAGACCACCTTCTGCAGTATCATGGTATTAGAACCACTACTTGTTTGAACCAGCCAAGTAGGATCTAAACAAAACTCTCAACACCGAAGTTTGAAGGTTGATATTGAAGGGGATTCTTCATTTGTTGATTCTGGGTTTGCGTTTCAACGTCAGCTGCCATGCTCCTTTCATCCAAGACTGACGCTACAAGCACTTGGAAACTTATCGCCTTGTCATCTGAGGTATTTTGATCAACCAAATTCACCTTTGGTGATGGTTTCACACCAAAACCGTGAAGAAGCACTATAAGACCTAATCCTGCAAACCGAGCCCCATTCAAGCAACCTACCGCAACTGTAGAACAGCAACGCTGTTAATAGGGAAAAGGCAAAAAGGGTAATTTATATGGGACCAACTAGATCGGCCAGAAACAAAAGTGGGCAAAGCAACCTATTCACTCTTAATAGGTATGAGTCCCACGTAGTCCATGCGTACGAAACACTACAGTATTCACTCTTAATAGTTTACCTAGCCCATTGTTGCTAACCATCCGGACTCGTGACAAGCCTCTGCCTGTTTTTACGTCACTGGCGTGATTGATTCCACAACCTACTACACAGCCATCATCACGTTGAGTTGATCTGTGAGTTACATAAACAACGCACAAATGAGAGCAACAGAACTTGTTAGCTCTCCTGTTATCTCTGGACAACGTGAGGAAAAGCCAGAAAATTCAAGTCACAAAATAATGAGAGATTTAACACAAGAGATTATCTCCTCTTCAAAATTATTTAATTACTCATAAATTAATAATGGATATGGCATTAAACAAAAGGAAATGGCGAACAGGATACATGATGAATTGATGATGATGATATGCTGTTCACTCTGAAGAAGAGATGTTCTCAATACGCGGTTGGGATGTGCTATGAGTTATTTTTGAGGCGTATTCTGTGGGAGTAGATGTGACTTCAAAATAAATACTCAAAATATTAAATTAAAGAATACTTTAAATTTAAATCACCTCAAACATGAAACATCTTTATGATGTTGAAATTCAGGAAACTCGTTCCAAAATGCTAGTAGAATTCCAATCAGTGACATCTCACCGGGAAAACAATGACAGCACCCAAATTGATCCAACGTAGCAACATTTAAACCTTAATCGTGGCTGGAAGTAGTTATTGCACATTTGCACACCAACTCCCGAGTCAAATTGGTTCCAACAAAATTCTGGAAATATAAAAAGAAGAGTCGAGTAACAACTTACTCGACAAGAAGCACGAAACAGAGAAGATGATTAACGCCCAGAACGCCGTCCTATGCTTAGCTTCCTCGATCAGATCTTGCAATGTCTGCATCATGTTCATGGTTTCAAAACCCTAGATTCTGCTTTCTCCAATCTCTCCTTCAAACAAAAGAGAATGGAAGTCAGGAGAAGAAAGAAGTTGCGCCAATTCAAGATTTCTTTAACCTCTGTTTCAAACTTCAACCGATGAAGTCTTTCTTAATAAGCAAAAAGAAAAACTGATATTCATTATTTTTTTCTCTTTGTTTCCTAAGCGAGAAAATGTACCTTTGTCGCTCTCTGTCACAGGTTGGGAAGCCGCTGTTCTTGTGAGTTCTTCACAGTCGTTCTTCTGCGGGTTGAAAATACGTGGGAGGCAAACGATGAACCTCGTCACAGAAAATACGCGAGAAGCCGCTGTTATTGTCATTCTGTTTTTCTATTTTATTGCTTATTCACACGTGGCACGCCCCCATTACTCTTGAGATGAATTCGTTATGCTCCCAGCATCCCAACATCCGAGGAGATTTCAGTCAAAATTCTAATGAACCGTTTGTCGAACAAGCTTGATAGGTAGATTTTGCTTTTTATCAAATCAGCCCCCACAACGTCCCACAACACATCCCCGCCCTGTATTGAGAATATCTCCGATCATGACATTATCATGACATTATCATTTCTAGTATTATCATTGGAAGATGTTTTCAATACACGAGGGGATGTGCTATAGGACATTGTGGGGGTTGATTTGATCTTAATAAGTTCATAGACAGAGGTAGCGTGAAATCAAAACAGCTAATTCAGAATACAAGAAATTGAAACTTCATTGCAATGCCCATAATTAGCTAACCAATCAACAGGCATTGCCTTTCTTGTAAGTATACACTCTTCAATGATTTGTTGCACTCTCCAAGGGGGGGGGGGGGGAATCTTCTTCAATAAACTATCGATAACTAGTTTGGAATCTCCCTCGATAATGATGCATCTATTGGAAAAATTGAGAACCACATTATGGGCTTCCCATGCCACCCAAGCTTTTGCAACATTAACTGTAGTAAACCCAATTTTACTAACTTTGAGGTCCAAGATGTGATCCATACAATCCCTGGCCACACAAGCAATAGTGCAGTCACCATTAATGCAAGAGGCATCAAAATTTATTTTGATTTTATCCAATTCAAGACTTAACCATCTGGCACGCATCGTTTCCCTTTGCTTGAGAGAAAGACTATTAGAATCAGCAATATTCTGAATCTCTAAAAAATTTTGACAAGCTCTTTCAATGATTATAGGAGGGGGCATCCCTCTATTATTAAGGACTTTATCATTTTGATTTTTCCAATTCTGTCATAACAGCAAAGTGATTTTTTCTTTTCTATAAGGGTCAAGGGGAACCCTTCTTCCACTAGTCGAAAGGTTATTCCACCAATCAGTAATTAATCCCACATTGTTATTGGACAAATTCAGAGTTTCTCGCGTAGCAAGCCACACTTGCTTTGAGAAGGAGCAATTTAGGAAGATATGGTCACAATCTTCCTCTTCCCCACAAAAGGAGTAAGCCTCATCAACCACTCAACCTATGTTCGAAAAGTCAACCTCTTGCGTAGCAAGCCACACTTGCTAGAATGAGCAGTCAACCTCTCAACCTGTGTTCAAGAAGTGAAGGAAACTTAGTCATACTCTTAGAAAATGGAACAAGATAGAATTTGGAATCATAAAGATAGAACAAGATAGAATTACAAAGTCTTAAGTCAGAGCTTTGCCAGGAACAGGCAAAAGGAGGATCGAATTACAACCAACAAAGGGTGAAGGAAATTAAAGAAAAATTAGATCTGATTCTGAAAAGAGAGGAGATGCTTTGGGCTCAGAAATCCAAAGTTAATTGGATCTTCCATGGAGATAGGAATACCAGATTTTTCCACAATCCCACCATCAGAAGGAGAGCAAAAATTAAAATTTTAAAATTGAAGGATGAAGATATCTAGTGGATGGAGGGTCAGGAGAACATCAAACAAATATTGGTAAATCATTTTAAAAATCTCTTCACTCTAGGTAATCCTATGGATCTGGATTCAACTATTGGTAAATCATTTCCAAAATAGAGATCTGAACCAAGACCAAAACACCACGTTCATTGATCTAATCCCAAAGGTTAAAACCTTGAATCAGCTGCTCAGTTTAGGCCTATAAGTCTCTGCAATACTATGTATAAAATCATAGCAAAGATCCTTGTAAATAGGCTGAAACAAATTCTAGGGTCAATAATCTCTGAAAACTATAGTGTTTTATCCCTAGAAGAGCTATCACTGATATCATCCTCCTTCCCCATGAGATAATGCATTATATTAAAAACACAAAAACTTCTTCAGGGTTTATAGCCTTAAAGCTTGATATGAGTAAGGCCTATGATAGGGTTGAGTGGACTTTCCTTCAAAGAACCTTAGAGACTATGGGCTTTGGAAATATTTGGATCAGTTGGGTAATGAAATGTGTCTCTTCAGTGACCTACCAAATTTTCATCAATGGCTCTCCTTCGCCAAAAATTTACCCCCAAAGGGGTTTAAGACAAGGAGACCCCCTTTCCCCCTATTTATTCTTATTATGCTCTAATGTCCTGTCAACTAAACTGAATAATTTAGTGAGTAGGGAAATTATTTTTGGAATCAAAATCTGCAAACAAGCCCCTATCCTCTCAAACTTGTTCTTTGTTGACGACAACTACATCTTTTCTAGAGCAAATCTGGAAGAAGGAAGAGCTATCCTTAATGCTATATCCTTATATGAGAGAGCCTTCGATCAATTAGTGAACTATAGAAAGTTTGAGGTTTTCTTTAGCTCAAACTTCCACCCAAGACTCCAAAGAGTAATGCCAAGGCTCTTAAAGGTCAAGAGAGTAGAAAATTCCTCCATTTATTTGGGTCTCCCTTGAAATAGGACGAAGGAAGTGTCACCTTTTTAATTTTATGGAGGAAAGAATTGCAAATAAGGTTGGGAGTTGGAAAGGAACCCTACTTTCACAAGCAGGGAAAGAAGTTCTTATGAAATCTGTGATTTCAGCAATCCCAGCCATTGTATATCATGCTTTCTCCTCCCAAAGAATGTATGCGATGACATTGTAAAACTTCACAAAAAATTCTGGTGGGGAGATCAGGACAACAATAAGAAAGTTAGATGGGTCTCTTGGGAAACAATTAGCAAAAACAAAATGAATAGAGGACTGGGATTTAGGGACCCCATGGCATTCAACCTTGCTTTGCTAGCAAAAGTGGCTTAGACACTTTGTATAGACTCATCAAGCCTTTGGGCAAGAACTTTAAAAGCCAAGTACTTTCCAAGAGAGCCCTATCTTCAGTCTAAACTTGGGAGAAAACCATCTTGGGGTTGGAGAAGCGTCCAAAAAGGCAAGGAAATCCTTCAAAAAGGTCTAGTTTGGAAGGTTAATAGAGGAGTTGGAATGGATCCTTGGGATGACCCTTGGATTCCTGGCCTAGAGGGCTTTAAACCAATGGGTCCGAGGCCTAGTCCCAATAGTCCTGCAAAGGTGGAAAATCTGATTCTTTGACAAGAGAGAAGGTCGGATGTCAAGAAAATCAACAGTTTATTCACCCCTTTTGAGGCAAAAAGATCCTAGAAATAGATCTAGTTAACTTTGAATGAGAGGATAAATTAATTCGGGCTCTAAATGATAAAGGCAGATTTATGGTGAAATCAGCCTACTTCTTGGCTAAAGAGCATGTGATGATGAGTAAAGGTTCCAACAGAACTGAGGGCAACACAATAGTTGATAAAGAGGTTTGGAATATAATTTGGCATCTACCTGTGGAGCCAAAATTTAAACATTTCATCTGGAGGTGTTTTCATAATGGCATTGTTGTAGCTGATAACATCTTCAAGAGAAAAATCATTAATTCTCCTTCTTGTCGTAGATGCAACAGAGACCCTAAGACCATCTCCCATGCTTTCTTGCTCTGTGACAAAGCTTGGTGCATCTAGTTGGGGGCTGGAGTTGGAATCAAACCTCATGGTTTATCAAATAACACCCCCTTCCATAGCTGGTTCAG